GACTTCCGGTACTCTGTATCGGTGAGTACCGGAAAAAAACTATCGGTATTCGATTACCGAAGTATCGGTGCATCCCTAAAATGTATATAATCCTCTGTTTTTTGTTATTTAAAAGCCATTGTGTTTATATATATATATATATAAAAAGAACAGATTGTCTGATTCATTGTGTACCCTATATCATCTAATGCTGAGCTTACTTGCCTTTCATCAGTGATTGATGGCCGCGGACTGGAGGATCTCCCCGTGCTCTGGAAGCCGCGAGGTCGCCCTCCGTCTCACCAGCAAACCCGTCCCGAGCCACGATGGTCACGTTTTGTTTTTTCATTTCTATGTATTTTATGACTGATATTGGAGATTCTGGTTTGTACCATTTTTGGAGGAAACCTCGTGTGAGCCGCTTTTATAAAGGTTTTGTGTTTATTATGAACTTGTTCTGTTGTTGGAAGACGCCGCGTGTGTGGTGTGTTTTTTTTTTGCACAATATATTTAAATTTTCCAATTCAGCTTTGTAGAGTCGTTCCTGCCATTCTGTCACCAAGAGACTTTCTCTCCTTTTATCAAAGCGTCGGCCAGCTGTTCCGGGGGATGAGAGACTGAATCTGATTGGCTGCTGGTGGGGGGTGCAGATTGTTCTTCTGCAAAGACACTTTGATAAATGAGGTGGAATGTATGTTGGAGCAATGTAATAAATAATGAAGAGTTGGCCAACTCACTGCACCATGTGATCTCCCAGCACCAATCCCGGCACTCAGAAACACTTCCCTTCCATTGACTAGACCAGGGGTAGGCAACCTCGGCTCTCCAGCTGTGGTGAAACTACAAAGCCCATGATGCCTCTAGCTCTGGGAGTCATGCCTGTGGCTGTCAGAGTCTTACAATGCATCATGGGCCTTATAGTTCCCCAACAGCTGAAGGGCCATGGTTGCTTACCCCTGGACTAGACGGTGCATTGGGTTCTGCAGGGGTTACATGGTTACATAGTTAGTCAGGCTGAAAAAAGACACAAGTCCATCGAGTTCAACCTATAGAGAAAAGCCTAAACAGAACACTATGCCCACAATTACCCCCCTGTTGATCCAGAGGAAGGCAACAAAACCCCTATAAAGCATATAGGGGCGGCGCTGCGGAGTTCTTAACGTTCCTCTCCAGGATGCTCTCATTTTACTCTGAGACTTCCCTTCCCCCAACCACAAGCCAAACGAGTGTACAGTTTATCAGAATCTTACTCGTTTTGCTTGAAATTGCCTCAATAAGATGTTGTGGCATCTGAAATGTTCACTCTCATTGTAGTTAAAGGAGAACTATGGGGTTAAGGCTTTTCCCCATAGTTCTCCTTAGGGTAACGGGAGGACACAAACTAGCGTCCTCCCGTCACCCTAAGCTCAGTATATAGGGAGCTACAGCTCCCTATATACTGAGACGCCGCAGCTGAAGCTGATCCCGACATTACTGTCTGGATCCGCCCAGCTGCGTGATTGACAGCTGGCTCTGCCTATCTAGAGGCAGAGCCAGCTGTACCCGCCCCCTCCCTCGTCCGTTCGGCCAGTCAGCGCTGGAGGATCGGACAGCGGAGGGGGGAATCCCTGCAGGGACCTGTGAGTGACAGTCACGGCTCTCAGCACAGATAGATCGAGAAGTGAGCGAGCGCCGGTATGTGTTCGCTCACTTCCCGATCTACTGAGCCGACCTGTGACAGTCTCATTGTCACACGTCGGCTAGAACTATGAGGTGAGTGAAAAGCACCCCCCCCCCTCATAGTTCTCCATTTAAGTCCAGCCGCTGGGAGGAGGATCATTGAGGAGTCTGAAGTCACATCCTTGGTATCCTCAGTGAGAATTTGTTCTGCACTTTGTGAACGTCATGTGAATGTATGGGAGCTCCAGTAGCTGAACCACTATAGTCCGGCTTTAATGGGCACGGGGACTGTGTATTGGCACAGCTACGAGGGAGTGTGCAAGAAAGGGTGACAACACTGCGGCTGAAATGAGCAAGCGTTGTCATCCTGACTACACCTGGCTGGTATGAATTCATTGAAAGCAGGGCACATAATATATATAAATGGAGTACGTTTTTTGACATTCCCATGTGCAACACCTTTTTGGTTTACGTGTTCAGGTTCAATTTTACTATTTTTAATTTACAATCAAAACGTATTATTTTATATTGGG